CCCGCCGCTTCTGAAAGGCGGCGAGGTGGTGTCGGACTTTACCAACTAAAACCCTACGGTGGTCTACTTTACGTTCAAAAAGGATGCCCTGGGACCTCTTTCGAATTACTGCCAAAATACTTCTGTGTCTTCTCCCATTCTGGGTGAGTCGTTCCTAGATTGGTTCGGGCATTGGGAGAAACCACTCCTCTCAACGCTATTCCCTGGGCCGTCGTCCAAATCTGAGGAGAATTCGTAATCTATTCTATACACGTTTCATCTCCATTCCTCGCCAGACGTCTTAGGATATTACTGTTTCGACCACTCGCGGAGAGACGCGATCGCGAGATAGCACGTCAGCGTGAGTCGTAAATTCCCGTTACGCGGGAGTCGGAAATTCCCGTTACGATTAGATAATCGACGCCACGAAATGATCGATCCCCTATTAGGATAATAGGGGTGGTTCGATTGAGGTTACACTGAATGAACAGGTATAACTTAATGTTTATTCCAACAACCTTGTAAAGAAGATAATTATACTGGTGCGTATGCACGAGTTAAGTAAGTGATTGATTTAATTATAGAAACCCGGTGATGACATGTTGACTATTCTAACGATGAAGAATAAGTAAGGTAAAGTGACGATGCTGTATCGGAGAAAAGCTCTAGTCGTGGGTGTGTCTAACGCAAGGGACCATCGGATTTGTTGATGACAATTTTGGTTAGGAAAGTGAGGGCGGTAGACATTGCTTCTGATTGGATAAAAGAAGTTTAGCGGACTAGGAAGGTCTTAGCCGCCCTCGATAGGAAGTTGCTAGTGGGAAGCATCGTACGTGAGAAAAACTAACTGTCCCGTGTCAAGCCGCAGTAGACAATACTCTTTAGAAGGCAATTTAAAAAAAGGATATTTGTTCGGTCTGAAAGACCTTAGCTAGCAAATTCCTGATATGATGGGTCCTTGAGATTATTGAGGGTACGCAGTAAGGAAGAGCGGACATCTGGTTCCTATCTTGCCCGCGGTGTGTGGCCTGGTCTAGGTAGAGGGTCGCCCGACGTAACAATTACATTCGCTGCAAAGTTGAAAAAGATCAAGTAAACGTAATCGAGACATGGAGAAATGATATTTATATGAGAAAGAAAGCATAAGTTACTAATATAAATAATAGATTTTATTAAAAATAAGGTATACAGTGTATATACTAAATATTACGTGCACGATATTAAGAGTTATCTTGTGTATTTCACATAAAACAAAACATATTGTAGTATCTTACTATTACAATTAGTTTACTTACAATAAGTACAGGTGTTGATTAAATAGGAAACGATGGTTGTTTAACGCGAACTAAACGCAACAACGTGTTACAATTTAAACAACTAAATAGTTAATTCGCAATTCTCGTCACCACGGATCCAACACTCTCTCACTGACTTCTCGATTCAAACTCTCTGAATTCTCAACTAACGCTCTCCGACTTCTCCACTGATACTGACTGTTAATTCGTCTATGTCCCTTAGCATCTCTTTGTCTTTTGTCTTAACCCCACCACACACGTGTTCCGCAATCGCTCGTGGCTAGGTTTCGTTGGCCATTTCCACGAAACTATCCGATTGAAGGATCGACGACACATTGATGGGCCTGTCGGCACCTCGGCTTTCTCGCGATACTGTTTATGATTCAGCCGATATCTCCTTTTGTCCACAATATTACAATACAATCAACAATTTCACTTTACTTCGATCATCCAATGTAATATAATCATACATATCCGACGGTATCCATTTAAGAAGGAACATAACGTACAATCTCAATACGATTGTAACCGAATGCGGAAATGCCATGGTTAATAACATCTCCCTTTTCTTTTCCGTTACAGTGTGGCTCCCTGGAGATCGGCGAGGAACGCCAGCGTCGGGTCGCTATGATGGAGTCCCTGTGCCAGGTGAACGGCACGAAGAGCAACGGAGGCAACGACAACAGCGCGAACAATGGCAACAACAACAACCACAACTCAGACTGTCCGGATCCGCAGCAGAGGCTGGCTGTGCTCAGTTTCGAGCAAGTTAGACGATTGAATGATGTGATGAACGAGGTGGTGTGCATCCACGGTCGTGGTAACTTTCCTACTTTGGAAGTCAGATTGAGAGACCTGGTTACCGTGGTCCGTAGCAAATTAGAGTCTGACCCGAGCAACGGTGGTGCAGGTATGAGGGTACGGGACATCAGGTTGAACGGCGGCGCGGCTTCTCACGTTTTGGCCACCGAGTCGCAACCGTATAATGATCTGGACTTAATATTCGCCGTGGAATTGTCGAGCGGGCGAAACTACGACAAGGTGAAGGCCGCGGTGCTTGGCTCGTTATTCGATCTGCTGCCAGAAGGTGTGAGCCGTAAACGTATCACCACGTGCAGCTTGAAAGAGGCGTACGTGAGCAAAATGGTGAAAGTGAATAACGACGGAGACCGGTGGTCCTTGATTTCCCTTGGGAACTCACGAGGTCACAGGAACGTCGAACTGAAGTTCGTCGACTCGATGAGGCGGCAGTTCGAGTTCTCGGTCGACTCGTTCCAGATCGTGCTCGACTCGCTGCTCCTGTTCTACGAGTGCAGCAAGCTACCAATTGGCGAGAACTTCTACCCAACCGTGGTCGGTGAATCGGTGTACGGTGATTTCCAGGAGGCGTTATACCATCTTCACAAAAAACTGATCTCGACGAGGCATCCGGAAGAGATCCGCGGCGGCGGCCTGCTCAAATACTGCAATCTCCTGGTTAAGATGTACAAACCCTCTCAGCCTGACTATATAAAAACCCTCGAGCGATACATGTGCTCGAGATTCTTCATCGATTTCCCGGACATCAGCCAGCAACGGGCCAAACTCGAGAACTACCTGTGGAACCACTTCGTCGGTCCCGAGGAGGAAGCCCTCAAGTACCAGTACCTGATGTTGCTTCACAGCGTGGTGGAAGAGTCCACCGTGTGCCTGATGGGTCACGAGAGACGACAGACCCTAGCTCTCATCGAGAACCTTGCGTATCAGGTGTTCTGCCAGGAGCAACAGCAACGATTGACGAATCATCAGCAGGCACCTCCTGGACCGCCCACCACATACGTTTACGCGAACGGTTACTATTACGCTCCAGTGATACCCACCGCGTGCTACACGTGCACGTGCAACTCGTGGATGGCGTGCTCGTCGTGATGCGACATCGACGCCAACGCCATCGTCGCCACTAGCACCGCCATCAACACCGCTACGACCACCACCGGCACGATCACCGATGTCCGCGATAACTCTATGATCTTTATTGACCACGGAACCATCGACGAGCCTCTGCTTACCGACCAGGGGGGCAATCGTCCTCAACCAGGTTACGATCGACGTAATTCGGATCGTCGTGGTTCGTGTTTATCCAACAATCTCGAGAAAGACGCTTGTCGATCATTGATCGTTCACGACAGCGGGTCAAAGGAGCAAAATCGTTTGCTCCTCAGTTGACGCTTGGACACGCGTCGAACATCGAACACCGACCGAACCAGAGTGTGACGTAGACGAGAAAGATTCTCGTCGGAATAAAACGGAGGAAGATAAAACCCGCGGTGATCGATTCGCCAAATGGATCGTGGGAGGACGGTGTTTATCGTTCGAGAGGGTTGGTGACAGTGAACAAAAACAACAAAAACGAAAGAAACAGCTTCGCGGAAGACTGAAGAGATCCAGGAGAAGATCAAATTCTAACCTAACAGCAGAAACATTTGTAATACTGCGCGTTTACGTCCCGGTGTATCTTTCTGTTTCTCCTGGGCGCGTTTATTCAACTCCGGTGGACGATCAGTTGTCGCGGGAGGAAGGACCAAAACACAATGGTATTTGCTGTAAAAACGGTCGTAGGGGATCAACAGAGAGACTAAAGACTCCAAACGAAATAAAAAAAAAAAAACAGAAAAAAAACGTTGAAATAAAGAAAGATAAAGAAACCAAGCGGAACGAATATATAGAAGAAGTAACAAAAAATGAATGTGTTGTGCCTAACGAATTCGAACGGATGGTGGAGAGAAACGGAAACCGCAATTGCGCACGCGCGGTGAAAACATGCGATGAATATACCCGGTAAACTAATTATACTATTGTCGGTGTGCGCGTCGATGAAACGAGACGGACGCATATATGAGTCGCAACAGTGGCGCGAGAGAGACAGAGACTGTGCGCGCGTTGAGAAAAGAACACACACGCTTTTCAGAGTCCCCGGGAGGACGGTAGCGCCGCCATGCGGTGGCGTCAGTTCACTAAGTGATACCGTATGGAACCGGAAGGAGGGAAGTCAATTTCGAAGGCGGAGGAACGACGACGAAACGGAATCGGAAGCTGTACGGAGAACAATACCGAGGAGTTCGAAAGAAAGGAAAGAGAAGAAGAAAAAACGCCGACGACGAGGGAGAACAAACGAAGGGACAGAGGGCGCCTGGGATCGGATCGGAGAACGAAAGGAACGGCTGATAGATAGCGCGTACGAAGGCGTCCGTCAGCGTTCCACGGTCGCTCCTCTTTCTTTCCTCTTTTCCCAAAACGAAGAAAAAAGAAAAACAAAAAAAAAAAAATGCAAAAAAAGTATATTATAACGAATGAACATATGATGTTTCGAGAAACGTGTAACTAAAGAAAAGGTAGTGGTAACACACACAGATTTCACAAAAAGTAAGCAAAAAGTAAACTCAAACAGATTAAAAATACAAAGAAACATTAACGGGCGTGGCGTTTGCAAAAAAAAAGAATAATTATAAATATATAAATATATATATACTATATTTAAATATATAAATACATGTATAAAATCTATGTATAAATATTAATGTGTGGCTGTGAACACATTTCATTTAGATACTACTGTAACGTGATATATAAGATTGAGAAAAAAAAAATCGAGGATGAGCGGCGCGATCGGTGCGACAACGAGAGAGTTTGTACGCGGAGAGTGTGTGTGAGAGAGAGAGAGAGAAAGTAAAAGGTAGAAGAGAGTAAAGGAAGGAGAAGGTGAACGAGGGGTGAGAGGCGTCTCTACTTGTTTTCTTTTCTTCTTTTTTTTAGTTTCGCGTCAACCAGCGCTGTCACATCGCCTAGACAAAACAGACAAACAAGAACAAAAACCTAAGCAAATAAACAAAAAGAAAACATGGACACTCAAAGAAACAGAGACACCCTCATGTAACGTACATACACGCGAATACTTGGTAAACTGAGACGAATGTTGATCCAGGTAAAAAGAAGCAATCTTATCGTTTACCAAAAGACGCGCGCATAAAAACATGAGATGCTAAAACGACCATCTAGACACTCTTTCCAGTTCTAGTATTATACCAGGGGAAAAAGCACCGTGACTAATCTTGGGATTCATGGAAGGACGTGTCGAAGGAGATTCGAGGTGACTAGAAGACAGAAGCCCTTCATCTTAGCCTGTATACGCGAAACTATACACATAACCACGTACAACGAGTATATGTATGAAGACTATAGGGAAAGAGATAAGTCACATTTTATTGTCGTTCGTATGGGAGCAATTTAAAAATATTTTATCAATCAGCCACATATCGAAATTGTCATCAGAATGCTTGTCAAAATGTTTCTCATATATTAGATATTAGATATCAAAGTACACCCTTTTAGCTACTTTTAGCAACCCCAAAATGAAAAAATTAATATAATCGTATTCATCGTATCTTCCCCTATAATCTTCTTCGTATCTAATCGCATACATTCGTAGATATATAAAAACACATACACACACACACACACACACACACACGTACGTGCGATCGAGCGATCCTTGCGGCGACCCTAGTCTCCGCCGAAGGCGACGGCGAACAGCTTGCATAACTTTCTTTCTTCTCGATACCGATAATTATTTAATACCTTATCCGACTGAACAGCAGCAGCGCCGCTCGCAAAGCAAAATACACGCGCGTTCGCGTGCCTATGTTTCTCCGGCCGTGATAAAACTCATTTGCATAATAAAACGTAGACTCTCGGCGCGGCGAACTTGCAAACTGTATCGTCCCGCGAATCGCTGTCGGTGCGTATACAAACGGGCACGCGTGTGTGTGTATCCGCGTGTGTATAATCTGTTCTATACACGCACAGAGAATATACACCACCAAGCCACGAATCTCCGAGCGTTTTTCGCGCGTCTCAGCAAATCTTTATCTCTCTAACGCGTTGTTCTCTTTCTCTGTTCCTACCTGCAGCACGTAACGCGTAGAATATACAGATAAAACACTCACATACACATATACATACACACACGCACACGCAGGCACGCACGAAGTACAGAGACAGGTGCGTGTAAGCACAGAGAGTAAAGAAGAGAGAGGACGTATATGCTCGCCACTTGGCGTCTCTCTTTTATGTGCGTGTCCGTATCGACTGGTGACCCCGTTAGTCAGCATAGTCAGTCACTTTGCTTGCTCGCTCGCTCACCGGTTAGAACTTAGCCAGGCCTCGTTCGTTCGCTCGCTCACTCTTCCTTTCAGTTTGCAAGCGAAAGTAAAGGCCTAATAAAAAGCCCGCAAACTGGTTTTTCTGGTATATCGCGCGTTAATGCTAAGGAGAGCCAGGCAGGCCGACTAGCAGCGACGTTCTGCACCCGGTGCGCGCCTCTAGCCGCCTGTTCCTTCTGTTTCCATCGCGACCATTTGTTTCCAACCACCTATCGACGATCCCTATCCCTCTATTTCCTTCGTTACGGCTAATTTCTCATCACCTATCGACGATCCTCGTCTCCCTGTTTCCTTCGCTGTCACTAGTTTTCGATCATCAATCGACGTGGCGTTGCTCCTCCTAATAATCATTTTCATTGTTGTTCTTACTATTATCCTCGTCTCTGTGATCTACGGTAGCAATAGCCGGCCGTTACATCGAAGCTTTCGTTCCTTCTTCGTAGCTTCCATCGTCGAATACACTGCGGATGTTCCAGTGGAAAATGGAGAAGATTCGCGAACGTTAATTACATTCTCGATTTGCAACGAAGGGTTTAAGATATTTGTTGTCGTGTTGTCGAAGATGTTATTAGTTTCGATGGTTTTGCATGATTGCGTGGTTGTTCGTAATCGGTAGATGACGGACGTTTGTGCAAATTTAGGTTTTATTTAATTCGTTAAGGAAATGAAATCTAAGCAGACATTTCTGTCGCACACTAATTATCATAAATTGTATGTTTCGAACATTCTTATTCATTATATATATGTAGAGTACATATTCGGCACATTTAAATTTTCCAATAAACAGCATAAACATCCCGTCTATTAATTAGAATTGACAGTTTTGTGTTTCTTTTTAGGATTACATGGTAATTTTGTTAAATGTGAAATATTAGAATGACTTGAGTCGGCACTCTACCGATTTTGGATCGATATTTATATAATGTATCGTATGAAGCGTAGAAAGAAAAGACTTCTTTTTTTCTACCACAACAAGTTTGAAATTTTAGATCGATATGTATCCAGAATGTGTTTAGATAGATCTTAAGAAGCCTCGAATTTGGAACTCGAGATAAATTGTAACTTGCGGAAGTTTGACTTGCGAGTTCAATGGCTGATATAATTAGAGTTTTTCACAACTTTCTTCAAGGAGGATAATTCGATTTCCAACTTGTTCCTACGAAGAGGATTGATTCTTTATTTCTCGTCTACTTTCTCATTCGAACATCAGACGCGAATCTATCAACAATCCATTAAAACATTTCGTAATATCGTCCACTCCGTATATGTCAGTCCGTCTCGTTTAATTCCTAAGAACTTTAAGATCGTATTGATCGTCGATCGTGTCGATCTATTGATCTGTCGATCCAAATATTGACCGTTCTTTTTAACGTAGGTGACAGGATTACAATATATATATATGTTCGTTCGCGCCAAAAAAAAAAACTTAATAAAACGTGTACATACATGTAATCATAAATTGGGAAAAAATTAAAAAAAAAAATTTATCTTCTTTTATCACATTCGTATTTTTACTAATTATATATATATATATTGTTATAAAGTATATCATTGTGTGAAGTTTTTTAAACAATTTTTTATTAGTATAAAAAAAGCTCATCATTTGGCTATGATTCACAGATGTTTATTTTTTTAAAAATTCCCTATATTTTTCTTCTTTTTCGAGATTATTGCTTCATATAAAGAAAAAGTTCGATTTTTAAAATGAAAACGGCTACGGTTTATTTGTCTTTGATGAAGCAAGAGTTTTAAGAATACAAACGCTGAAAATACATTCGATATTTTATAGCCACGTTTCTTTTAGAGATGTCGGAGGATTCATTTGTACGTTCGTTCTTGAAAAAGTCGATCGATTCCGCGGCGATTAATCATGACGTAAAGCATAATAGCCAGATAGATCTTTGAATCTTTCGTCGAGAAATTCTTCTCCTAGACGAGAGATATTCGATAAAAAGCGATCGATCTTTCTCTCATTAATTAACATTTTCATCGAAGCGATATTTGTTGCCCAATTAGGAAATTTTGATCAATTGATAGAACAAGAATTGCACGATTTTTCTGTATCGCGATACTCGACAGACTCGTGAATAGAAAATTTTCTAGTCGGGAAATCAGTCAGGTAAATTAATTAAATTTCAGATACTCGTGATTCTTTGCGATTCTTGTATAAATGAAAAATCTCGAAAACGTGTCAGATTAAAAAGTGGAGTGGACGATTTAGGCAAATTCTAGCTAACTAAAATGAATCCGTATTATTATTTTTATGCTGTATTTCGAACGATCGTTTCTTCTTTCGTTTCGTCCTTCAAGGTGAGTTTCTTCTGATTCGAATCGAGTAGCCAGAGCAAAAATCTAGGGCTCATTGCTAAAGAAGAATATCAAAAAAATATAAATCGTAATATACCGAGAAAATACTCTACGAACCTCGTTCTAGATGATGTGTGTTAGATCTAAGTTTAAAAAAAAAAAATAAGAAAAAACAAAAATAAATAGAATAGACTAAGGGCGAGAAACTACGAGTAACTTCTTCGGTGAATTACAATTAAAAAGAAGTCTGAAGAAACCTTACTGACAAATCTTCTTGCGATATTCTGAGAAATCTGTTCGAAGCTTTGGATTTGTTTCGTAATAAAAATACAAAATTGAATAAATCGAGACGATATTTCGAAAAGGTGAACATGCGTCATCTCGATTAGTCGCTAAAAAGGAAGAGACGTGCGAGTTAAATTATTAAATAGAAAAGCAACGCCAGAATGGAAATAGCTTTTAATCGACAAATAAAAAAAAAAAAAAAAAAAAGAGAAGAAGAAATAAACGATAAATAAATAATTGTTCATCTGCGTTCTAGAACTTCTTGCAAGCGAATTGTAATTAGTCATTGTAATTTTGTATCGTGATCTGTAATTTCGAACGAGCGTGCACCGTGATAAATATGATCTTTCGTTATAGGGGAAGAATCGTAATACGTAAATGTCATCGAGTTGCGTGCGAGCGGATAATAACGAAAGGATGAAACAAGGAAAAACAAGGAGAAGAAAAAAGGAAAACGGAAAACGTAGTCATCTTCCGAGAATCTTGTACCCTGCCTTGGATTTTTCTTTCTTTTTTTCTTCGTTTCCTTTTCGTTTCTCCCGCCCCTTTCTCCATCGATCGCGATCCTTTTTTCTATCGAACGTGAATAATAACCATAATCACCCGCCAACGCCACGTGGACAAATTTTGTACGATTTTGCGCGACTCTGTACTCCGATATGATTATACAATACACATACGCATATTACATATACATACTTATATATATTATATATATGATATACAATGATTTTTTTATATTTGAAAGAGAAGAGAAAATAAAATGCATTTGCCTGACACACCACGATACATGGTTATTATTCAAGGGTTGAAAAACGAGACACGAGCCTCCTCCTCTGTGTCGCGGTTTGTCAGAGTGATGACAAACTCGACGAGATTATACGTTAATTGACCGATCAGCTTAATTGCCGATAAATGGATGAAAAAGAAAAGAAAGAATGGGGATATTTGACGTAATAAAGGATTGAAATGTCAGAAAAAAGGATGAGAAGCAGGTGCTCGTACAGGAGCACAAGTGTTCGAGTTTGTACAGACACCAAGGTTGACTTGTAAAAGATAAACCAAGCATGTTTCGTTGATATTCGATAAAAGATTCTCCACTTCTTCTCTTTTTTCCTTTTTTTTTCTCTTTTTTTTTTTCATTGCTCGATAGACACGATGATTATTTTGTATCTTAAATTTATGCGTTCCGCCTGCTCGTTCGATTCTCTAGCGTTAAACGTGTTATAATTGGTGTCAAAAGTGTTTGTGCGATTAAGCAATATGGTTTCTCCGTAGTCAAATAGTAGCGTGATTCGTTTCAAGGGAAGGGTTGCTCGCATACGGAATAAAGGGAATCGAAATTTGAAGATTATAGAAAAGAGAAATTGTAAAGCTTCGGAAGAATGGAAAAGACAATGACAGCGCTGGAAGGGTAAAGAAGAGAACGATTTAATTATTACGAACCGAGTTTCTTATATTCACCTCCTAGTTCTTTGATTTACTGAAGACCGTCTCACGACCCCTCGAGTTTCTGTCGTAAAAGAAGAGAAAAAGGAAAACCATCTTACGCCGTCGATTCATCATCGTCCTCGAATAATCCCGAATCGTGGACGAAATAAAACAACACTATACACAGATACACGCGTGTACACGACTATTACTCGGTTTCTTGGGTTTTTAAAGCGAGTGAGACAGCGTTGATCGTCTTTTCTCATTGATAACATGCAAAAAAGAAAAACGCGGTGATTAAATTAATCGAAGGACGAAGATCGAGTTTTGAAGCTTTTTCAGATTTTCTAGAAAGAGAGAGAGAGAGAGAGAAAGAGAGAGAGAGTGAGTGAAAGGAAAAAGATAAGGCTGAATCGAGAAACCAAGCCGAAAACGCGATAGAAATGCAACGTCGGAACGGAATTGGGTGAGAGTTCATCGAAAAATCGTTCGCGCGTTCCCGTTTCGAATATTCAGACGCTCGAGTCGAGGATATTCGACGATTTCTCACCCCTTGAATAAAGCATCGAGGTGTAAAGATATTTATAAAAATGAGATCACACTGAATTTCGTTTAACGCAAAATAACTTCGTCTTGGATAAAATGGAAAGTAGAATAATTTTAAGTAATTAAGCGTAAAATTTAAGCGTAAAAGAAATATTCGGAATGCGTCGATTGAAAATCGAGGATAAATGTGCGAGAAGGGGTAGATCTTACGTCTGTGTGAACAGAAACGCGTCGATATTATTACAGTTTTTATGGGAAGAAAATGGCGTATCTGTGCGAGGAGTGACATCAAAGATTGATCAATCGTCGTTCTTTCTTTCCTTTTTTTTTTTTTTTTTTTTTTTTTCTTCTTTTTTTTTTTTTTTTTTTTTTTTTTTTTTTTTTTTTTAAACAGACGCAAGATTAGGGGGTATGAATATCGATTTGCTTGTACGAGTATTCAAGTGGAAGGTTTAATAATAAAGACTATGATTTACACCTGTACACGATTTTCTTATTGCGTACAAATTATTACACTGTACTAATCGTAACGATTTCTTAACATCTGTTGTTTCTAATCGTTTATTAAAAAAGAGAATAATTGTGTGTTCATCCCGAATAGAAAAATTATCATTTTTAAGATCGTTCCGCGTAACTGTTATCTTTTAAAAAAAAAAAAAAAAAAAGAAAAGAGAAAAACAGGATACTCTTCCCGTGATAATCACCTTTTTCACGATAGTCGTCGTCGTATCGTAATCATTGATAATTATTCGAAATTTCGAAATACATAGATAGATTCATCGAAGATCGACGATTTTTCCACTAATTCTTCGTTTTCCTCGCATAGATGCAAAATTCATTAGTTCCTGATGAAACAGTGAAACGCAATCACAACTTTCGTCCAGCGTACGTCCACGAAATCGTAGTCGAACGAAAACGTAATGTAAGTAAGGAGAAGAATCTTAAGTATACGCGTCGAATCTCACCCAACTCTGAATTTGTAAATGAACGATCGTAACGATCCGCGATGAAACACGAGCAAGCCTTAATCGTGTAGATATTATAATCGTATTACGACGATATTATTACGGTAATTCATTAAACCAAAAAAGAGAGAGAGAGAGAGAGAGAGAGAAAGGCACATTGGATAAAGCATAAAGCGTGTAACATAATTTTCGCGACTGGATGATGAAAGAATCTTCGCTTCGAGATCATTTTTTATTACTGTTACATACCTTTTATCGGCATTCGATTTGTATTTTAAGCATAATCAGCTCTTATTTTTAAATTCTTACAGATTCTTTGTCATTTTAAATTTGCCGTTCGATAAAATTATATAATAAACATTTATTTAGAAATCACATCGACTCTCGAAGGCTATCGTGAATGAAATTTGATCCGACGCGAATTTTTTCTTTTAATATCAGCGTTCCGTGATGATATCATTACAGTGTTATTTGCAATTGCGAATTATAATTTTTTAGCCCTCGTCCAGTATCGAGCAACCATAGAACAATTAATCCCCGGTGCTCAATTTTATTAATCTTTTAATTTGTACGCGATTGTTCGACAACAAACTTCCCGCTTATGGTCGCCTCGAAGGGTGAAAAAAAACAACATGAATTTTTATAAAAATTAAAACTGCAGCTAATCGTATTATTTTTCAACGAAAAAGAACAGAAAGATTTTTTTATCGATCGATTATGTAACTAATCAGAACGGACGGTTGTGACGCCGCCGAGTTTCCTATAAAAGCACAATCGAACGATGAACGAAACATGGAAATAAATAGCACGACTCGAAGAGGAACGTTCATCGAAATGTCGTGGAAATTATTCAGCCGACTTGGAGCAGACTGATCGCAGATATACATATTCGATAAGCTGTACAAACGCGATGTTTCTTGATTAGGTTAAGCTGTACGATAACAGAGACCGCGTGTAGTAATCTCGCGAGCTGAGTAATTAGAACATTAGAAGTAGCTTCGTAGAAAAATCGTCTAGAAACATACCGATCGATCGATCGCATGAATTATCGTTTATAATCTAATCAGTAATAATCTCATTGAAGTGAAATCGAACTTTGAAACTAGCTGCACACCTGTCTAAACGAAACACTGTAAGAATATATATATATATATAAATATATATATATTAATATAAACACGAAACAAAGTCTGCGAGTCAATTGTACAGTTCTTTCGATCAATGAAATCTTCGTTTAGACAAGTATCGCAACGATATTGTAATTAAATATCGAATTAAAGCGGACTTTAAACGTCGATACTTGTTAATCAAGTGTGTATTATGATCGGTAGAACGATTACGAAGAACGAAGCTTTCTCTTTCAAATACCATTTGCTCGTGAAATCAATTTTTCGAAAAATTATGGATAGTTGTTAGTAAGTATCGATATTTGCTTAACGTTTAATTATACGATCCCAAGATCTTGTTATTCAACCTGTTAATCGGGAAAACCTAATTAATAAGAGTCACTCGACCACTTGTCAATCTTCTTAGATTGTATATTCTTTTCTTTCTTTCTCTCTTTTTTTTTCGGTCCAGATATCTACTATGTATTATCTGACGCCAGATAAGATTGCAGGTGTCTATGAATTATCGTATCTTTGTAAATCTGATTAAAAGAAATGGGATTCAAACAGGAATTTACTTCAAGTGTCATAACAAGTACTATATTTTGGATATTTTCTATACTTCTGCATATTACGCGACCTCTCCTGTATCCTTGTAACTTTAAATTTCCCATAAGCGCACGAACACCGACGATGTATCCGATGGAAAATTTGCACTAACTTTAATAAATTAATCGCAGATGTTTGTGCGTTTGCAGGAGATTTAAAATGGCAAACTTGAAGGTTTAACTAATTTGGATGAATGCATTGCAGACATATACGAATTTATAGAAAATTTAGAGCCGCAAACAAATTCTTTTAAAATCCATTTACACCATATAATGGGTATTTCTAAATTATTTGAAGACAATTTAATTCAAACTGATTGATTCCTGTTGAATCTTAATTCCGCGATTATAGTAGCTTTTGGCTAAAACTATGACCCTATTAACAGGTTAATCCGTATAATTAAACATCTTCCGTTTAATTCGTTCTACGTGTAAGAAAAATGGCAGGATCTCTCTCCTCCGCACCACTAACAGAGTTGAGGACTCTCTCGACTAGATTCGAAAACGAATTCGATCGCGAACAAACATCACCACGGCCACGTTTCCCTGTATCTTGTACGTAACTTCTTTTGATACTAAACGGTAGAACGCCAAACGCCCCTTTAGAACTCTGTGTATTTCGAGGAAAGCAAACAGAGCACGTAGGTTCGCGGATGCGAACGAAATAATGTCGTATCGATGGACGCGTTTAAAAAGCGACGAACGATCAAACTTTCGTTCAAATATTAAAAGATAATCGGATAAAATGACATTAACGAGGAGTCGAGGAGTCGAAATGGTGAACGATTTTAACGTGCAAATGTCGAAGATGAAAATTCCAGTTTTATTAATTTTTCAGACAGAAACGTATAATGCGAACAAATTTTTCCAAATTGCTTAAATTTATTTTATCTTTATTCGTATACCTGTTATATCTTTATCTGTTTTAATAAAGCGGGGAAAAACGACCAGATCGACGTTTACGATCAATTTCTCTCTCTTTCTCTTGCAATAATTTTTAAAGCTAAGATACATTATTTTACGATATACGAATTGAAACAAAATTTCAATGAACACTTACCATCGTACACGTTCTGTTTTACGATTATTTTAAACGCTAAAGTAAATTGTTCCTCGCAGAACATACAGTCGAAAAACGAATTTCAATCGACACTTACAACCGCTAACTCTATCCTACAGAGCTCTAAAAACTCCAACGAATTATTTTACCATTCGTGACTTTTGTTCGCCTGTATTTTATATTTTACATTCTTTCCTGATAAAGAAATTCGCCTTTCTTCTCCTCTCTCGCTCCACCTCTGTTTGTATCGTTTCGACGTTTGTACGATTCATCGTTTCAATTCGTCGATCGATTGATCGGAAAAGAACGACGACTAGAAAGAAGACAATCGAAAAACGAAAAAAACGAAGACGAAATCGAACGAAACGTAGTTCCATCGATACGATCTGCTGAAGTAACGATAGATTCACGATCGGTAGAACGATTTCACCAATGACAGCGGTGAAATTTTGCGGATAAAGGAAAATACGTGATCCGTAGGATTAAGTAAGAGAGCCGTGTGCGAAAAAAATAAAGACGCTACCGTCGATATACTCCGACGGATAATACGATGTGTGTGCTTGGATGAATGTATGTCGCGTAGAAGAAACCGGGATTTCGGTGAGGAATCGCGATCGAGGTATAGATCGATCGTTTGGATCGATCCTCAATGGCCTGACGAACGGCGTTCGAGCCGTGAATCTTAAAGAATTTCGTGTTGTCGCGAAATCCTTGATATATTGCAATGATATGTACATATATAAATATTTCCTTTTGCAAGAATTCAAATCGATAGAGTAGAAGTTCCTGTTTTCTCGTCTGAATTGTATTCTTCCCCGCGAGGACTACTGTATCGTTGATTTCGTTCAAAGAGAAGAAAATCCTCGCTAATAATTGTTTGCAATAATTAAATGAACGTGCATTTCTTTGTGCCTTCTATAGAAAATATTTGATCGCGAAACATATACAACGTTGATTTCTGATCAATTTCGAAGAAAGAAACGACGAAGATAGAGGATCATAGAACACCAGCGGCCTAAACTGTTCTCATACGAAAGCGATAGAAAGCCTAATTTACCGTGTTGTCTGTGTATCCTCGTACGAAATCTGTTCAATCTCTCGTTCAATCGGTAATCTTCTCCTAGCTACTCGACGATTTTTCTGTTCGATCGATATCATACTGATGATGCTCAAAGTATCCTCGAACGAGCCTCTCTTATGCATTTAACTCGAACAGTGTGTTTTTACAGTCATATTTTATTTACGTATATTATAGTTTCACGCGTTATCGATCGATCGTTTATTCGAAATTGACGAAACAATGGAACGCGATGGTCTCGAAGAAGAGAATAATTTTGTCGATTATAAGTCGAGATTATGGTAAAGATGGAAGAAACAGCGGATAATTGTGGCGACCACGCAAACACGTGAAATTGTAAATGGAAATTAGTTGAAAAGTAGAAGAAACCACAGAGATTGTAATTCTTTGCTGTTGCAATAACTCGACGAACCGAGATTACTTAAAAATACAAAGAATATAGAAAATAAAAGATTTAATAACTCGATAGGAGCTATAAAAATCGAGGTAAATCAAATTGAAAGAAAGCGTTCTTCGCTCGTTTCGAACTAACGGATAGGAATGGTCCTCGAGAAAGTTGACGATAGGACAAATCTTTCTCGATAGAATCAATGGATTCGTTCGATGACGCAAGCTCGAACTGCGAATTTCAACGAAGCATCCTCGATCGCAGGGAAAAAACTCGCGAAATCCCAGACGCTCGCGCCACGATCCTTGTGTGTTTTAAATAATTGCGCAGATTTTATTGAGTAAGATCGATGGACGTGTTGCGTCACTCGCTCGTGTCGGAATTCTACCGAGGAACCGAATATTTTCGAAGAACACGAAAGATAATCGAGGCACGTTTTGCTCCAAAATATATTAATCGAAAGAAACGACGAATCAGACTTATTTTTCTTGTTCCTATCGTTCGATATTCGCGATGCAGCCAGCCATCGGATTATGATGTATTTACAAGAACACGTAATTATTGGCTAAGTATAATCGTGTGTATAAAAATTCCATGGACAAAAGGAACGCCGCTTGTTTCAGAAATCGAATAATTCCACGTTGCAGATGAGACAAAAAGAGTTTCTTGTCTTTACGATTGAGATATCGGCGATTGTTTACGCAACGGTCAATTTCAATTTCACAGAGGTTTATCAATCGAATCACGCTTCTCGTATTTATTAAGTATTCTCCGATAGTTGCGTTGTATCGTGCGTTGTTTTCTTTGAGACTTCGATAGAGGCATCGGTAATTTGTATTCCTTATAAATCGAGAGGAAGAACCGATGAAAAAGATAAGAAATATTCGCTGCGGATGTTTGCAGATCCTTTTTAAAAAGAGGATTAAAAAAAGAAGATAGAAAAAACTGGAAAATAAAATTCACCATGGAAGATCGATGATGTAAAGCTTCCTATAAAACGAATCAACGTGGAATGAAAAGAGAACAAGAAAATTAACGATCGGAATTATCGATACTCTGAAACAGAACTTCTATTATTATTATTATTATTCTATAGAAAACTATTCATCGTAGAAATTTGAAAAGGAAGATTAACGAACGAAGCGATGGATAATTCGAAATGCTTGCTAAAAAGATGGTATCGTTAGTGGGAGCAAAACAGTGTTCGCGAGAAATCTAAAGCAGACTATCTTCGACTATTTCGAAATAGACACGAGGGACGAGCAACACGCGTTTTACCACTTACGATTAGCATCGTGTACGAATCATTTAGTTCTCATTCCTTCGTGGGATCCTCGGTGATGCCAGATATTCTCCCTCGACTTCTTTTGTACCAGGCGATTTAGCCACCTTAAGTACGACTTAATAACGTGCGAATTAATCAAACGATACACACGCACGATCTTCTCAGATACATTGTTTAAAACGAATAAAAGAATTAAAGAAAAAAAGATTTAAAAAAAAGCGTAAAAGAAGATGAGAGTACAGGTGAACCGTTTTTTCTCGGATGTTTACACGATGTGCGAGGACGAACACATATAAGCGGAAGGGACGAAACGAAGGGAAGCATTTCTCGATCTGGCATCACTCGACGAGGAGAAGATACGTAGATCGAGGAAACGCGACGGCACTTGTGTCCGTTTCCGCTCGCTGCTCCACTGTGAACATCACCGTTCTGTCGCTCCTTCGAACGTTGCTTTGTTTAAGCAACGACGACTTTGTGGTGAAAAGAAAAAATCGTATAAAAAGAGATGGGACGGAATTGAATTGAAAAATTACGGGAAAAAAGGGGAATAAGTTTAAACGATAAATCGCGTGAAAAGGTGGGAAAGATTTACGAATTTGAATGAAAAATTGCGTAAGAAGGGTGATAATCGCATTTTTATTGATAAATCGCGTGGAAATGGAGAAGATCGAGTTACTCGTGAAAAATTGAATGGAAAGGGGAGGAATATAATTACTCGAGTGAAAAATCGCGTGGAAAGGCAGAAGATGGAATTTAATCTGTCCGCTTGATGATAGTAGAAAAAAGTGATTTTCTTTCTATGTAATGTTTCCATAAAAAATGCCACGTTTCTTGTCTATCGTTAGCAAAGATATAAATGAACATTCGCGTTATATGTTCAGAGAAATGGATTTTTCTTTTTGTTTTTAAGAGAACATTTTATTAGTTTCGTGGATTCTTGCGTGGAACGTGCCGTTCTAGATTTAAGATCGATGTTCGATTCGACCCATTGGAAGCCTGTTTTAACTCTACTACGCTCTTCAAGACGTTTTCGATTCGATTCGTATTTCTCGGTCGTTGGAAAAATTGATTAAGTTTAAAGAAAATATGAGAGAATCGTTATTAAAATTCTCGTTTCAATTTTATGCGAAATATTAAGGGTCTTTTTATTTACTGAAACGAGAATAGAAAAATTCGAAGATCGTGGTTGAGTTAGCCGTTAGTTTTCGATGTCAAGCAACGACGTTTTCCTCTTTCTTTATTTTTCAAGTAATGAAATCGGCGATACTGATGACGAACGTTTCTATATGAAACGCGTCGTATTATTTTTTTAATCTAGCAACGCCTCGTTGTTTCGTATATTTTTTCAGAGAATGAACATTTTTACGATCGAAGAGAAGATTCGATCAAATAGTTTTATGTTGTTTCGATTCTAAGCGCAATTCCAATGGGTTGGTCGTTTTAAAATTGAATTTCTTTACGTATAAAGCTTGTGTATTTTATTATATCGACAAACGTGGAGTTTCGTTTGAAAAAGACGAAACCCAATTTGATTGTCACAATGTGAAAAATAGAAAAGCCAAAAGAAACAAAGATTATATATAACAAGAAGAAGAAAAAAGAAAGAAGCGAAAAAAGGGAGGTTGAGCAATCATGGTATTCAGCCAACATAGTGTAGTAATATATATAAGTATAAATCGGTTAATAATTAAGTAAAGTGAAATCAAGAAAATGAAGTATCAAAATTAGTATGTAAAACAGAAGAATATAAGAAGGAAGCGTAAAAATAAATTACAGATTGTATAAAATACTCGAATCAACGATGAATGACTCGAAATGGGAGAATTTACAATTTGAAGCTCAAGCAGATGTATAGTATAAATGTTCGACCTCTCGCGATTCATTTCCGCTTTTACGTAACGGGGATTCGATTTACTATAATTCTGTGCATAATCGAATAATATCTTTGGTTGTAAGTGCGTCCGTCGTAATCTGGAACAGAGATCCTTTTTAACATACTTGAACAAGGGGAATCACAATATAGTTTGCACTCAATTGCGATAATCGAACTCTTTTCTCATAAATGTTTCTTTGTTTCCTACGAAAATACGATCGTACAAAGATGCATATTTTTCAGTAATTTCCAACCAGACTTTGAGCCTAACGATCGCCTACTCAAACCTTTTTTCCCCCAAAATTATTATACAATTTCGTAGATTTGAAGAAAATTTATGCCAATTTCTTTTTATGATTCCCAATTTGGTTTGCAAGGGATTTAAAAAATATTAATAAAAATAATAATTAATATTATAGTTAATATATCAATTCTTTTCTAAGACTAAGATATCTGTTCAGATTACGAAGAGTGCGCGTGAAAAGAAGAAAAGAAGAAACCACAAGCTTATCGCGAAGAAAGCAAGATTTTCGATTAGAGTCTGAAATAACCGGAAGTGCTCTTCATCTTCGTCGGCGGACCGAGATTTTCGACAGACTTCCGGTTACAGACGACGAAATTGTTTGCGATTCGCTTTTTTTTTTTTACTCTCCTCTTCGATAGAATCCGTTTTCCCTTCGAAAGATGTGATCGTTCCCCTGGAAACGACCCGATCGAGCTGTACTTGTCTGTTTTTCGAACGCGTGTATCGAAGAAGAAGAAGAAAAGAAAGAAAACGGATGAAAAAGGGAGGGTAGTATAAAAGATTAGACGATAGAGATAGGCAAAGGAAAATGTGAGACAACGACACACGCACATAAGGCGTATGGAAATAAATAGACTCGATGATGATTGCTATTGTTAATCGATCATCGACGATTAACTTGTAAGAGGATATTGCGGCGATAAATAGCGAAGTTTAATATTACCCGTTTGTATACTAAGGAGAAAATTTACAAAAAAAAAAAAAGGCGAAGTAAATGTGGAAAAATAATAAACGACAAGAATGTAAGAGATGGAGAAATATTATATATATATATATACGTATAATATTTAATTTGTAATAGGGAATACATAAATATTATATGTGCATATATGCGATGTAAGTAATATAGAACGTATGTGAGAGAGAAAGAGAGAGCTATTTTGTAGGATGAGTTCGAAGAGTGCGTAAGTGGGCGGCGATTTACTTCTTTTTTTATTTCTCTGACTTGCCCATGAATATATATTCCCATATGTAAGAAATGTTATAAGGATTACCTATAAAACATGAAAATAAATATCATGTAAACACCGAGAATATTAACCGCGTTTTCTTTTCATCCGGACAATCCTATGCTTCGTTATGCAAATTTCCTTTGCTCGTATATTTCATCGAGATGTAACTTTTCCAACGAGTTGTAAACTTTTCCAATTTTCCCCCTTCCTAAGCAGATATCGCCTGGGTTATTCCTCGATTGGAATTTTTTAACAAACGTTCCCATTAATAAATCAAGTTTAGTCGCGAGATACGCGACAAATTTTCCGTGTAAACGCTGACTAAATTTTTATTTCATCGAAGAATAATCTTATTAATTTCTCGTTAAATTGTAAACTGTTCGCGCATACATTCGTCTTTGCATTTTCTCCGTGAATATAATGTAACAGAATCTCGTAATGTATATTATTCTGAACTTCGATCGTTAACGTCCAATGGTCACACACGTCTGCTCATTCTTCGAGGTTTAATAAGGTCACGCGTGGAAAGATTAAATCTTGTGCAGCTATTTTATCGCTACTTTGAGTTGAAAAAGCATAAGATATTCTTTATACGTCCCTAAACAAAAGTTTACAGGATTCAGTAATCCCTACAAATAAAGAACCAGTGTTTTTTAATATAAAAAAAAAAAGATAAAAGAAACCTGTATTGAACCTAAATAAAAAATCATCTAAATAGAAAAATATAATGAATCGTCTCTTTTTTAACGAAACAAGCGAAAAGTGAAAAAAAGTGGCGACATTAAAATTAAAAACCTATTGTAAGTACAATTATTCATATTATCCCTTTGTAACGAGTATAGTACTTGTATAAGCAAATCGCTCGTTGTTTGATAAATCGGGCACTAATTATGTAGCTAAAAAATAAAATTTCTCAATTTACGAAATATAAAGTTGATCGATCTACAAATTATCTTTCTTTTTCGATTACGTATTCTGTAATAATCGGAAAACGAATAAAAATGAATTCGTTGCATTATTGCCATATGTTCTCCAATTTGCTTCGATCTTTCCATCATCGGCTGGAGGAAACGAGAGGAACAAAAGTTAAAAAAGGAAAGACGAAAAGAGAAAATCGAGCCGGTGAACGAGAAACAATCGAGGCTAAAGGCGATGAATAAATTTCTCCTAGCGATTTCCTAAATGCCGGCTTCGGATCGTAGTTACGCAAGGTCGCCGCAAAACTTCGAATGCAATTATTCTGTTGCAACTTCGCCGCCGGATTGCTCCAGTTGTTCGAACGCGACCGCGGCGCGCGTTCCAGGAATTTTCCTGTTTCAATGCTAGACAACGTTTCGTTAATTTTCGTTTAACCTTCCAATCTGTCCCCGCCGCCGTTTCAATCGAACCGCGTTCAGCTCTGTCACTGACAAATGCCTTCGAATCGCTCGTTTCTTCAGAAGAAACGACATGATTTCGTAAGAGAACGACGCGTTTTTCGAGCGGAGAAGTTTAAATAGTCGGCGATGTTCGCGAATAAAGAACTTAAAAATGATTTTCTTACGAGAAAATTGTAAATTTTGCGAAGGATACTGAAAGTATTTTTTATCGTAGTAATTTATTTATACGGATAGAATAACGTGTATGTGTATGGATGTATGGTTTGTTGTAATTTAGGATATCTTCTGTCAACGATTTACAATTTGCCAAACGCGAAACAGAGTTCCGATTACGATGAAACACGATTGTTTTTAAAGATGTAGAATTCCATATGGAATATCAAAATAATTTATTTGCGCCAGAATAATTTTAGCCCTTGGAACCGTTTGCAAGACGGAGCTACGATACAGTAGAGTTCGTGAATTATTTTAACTTACCGATGTTATTGTCAAAAATGTGCAATTTATCGACGTTATTAATCTGTGAATTTGATCATTTGGAAATTTGCAAGCTCGCAGGTTTTAAAGTTTGGAAGATTTCAAAGGCTGAGGAGTACAAAATCGAAAAGTTCGAAGCTGTGAAAAATTGAAAATTGGAAGTTTCGAATCTGCAAAAATTCGAAGGTACGAAATTTTGATAATCTGAAAAATGAAAGATTCGCCGATTTAAAAATCGGGAAATTCGGTGTCTCTCGGATTTAAAATTTCCCAAATCAACGCAGCAAACGGAAATACTTCGCTGGAACAGTAAAATTTAAATCTAGAATCGTCTATCTACCAATTTACTCTCAGAAGCAAATAGAAAGCTCTTGGCATTCGACTCGAATTTCCCTATATACTTCGTCGATACACGTTCCATCGCTTCGAAGATTCCTTTACTTTGCCCGAATCCGCGATTTTCTCTAGTGGCTCGACCATTTCAAAGGGCACGGGGTGAGCGATAACTTCCGGTTACGTGGAAGTCTCTGGTCAGAATTTTCGAAGGCGGTCGCGTTTCGCGCCACTGATCTACGTTAAATGTCGTTAAAAGTTCGGACGTCACGGTCAGTTGATCCACGGAATGCGTTTGAACGCGTTGGCGGCAGCGATTGAAACTCGTAAAATTCGCTTTTCACGCGCTCGCATACATTTGCATGAACAAGGAATAATCAACCGCCGACTGAATTTCGTATGCCTACGAAACGAACCGAGAGCGACTGGTTTCTTCGTCTAGTGTTCGCCGCCGACTATCTTTCCTTCTAAAATGATCGTGCATTGGCATTAATGCAGCACTGCCTATCCCATAAATCACGTGAAAAAAACACTCCGTTCAAAGATCCATAGCAGCTTCAAACTAAAATTAAGATCAGATGGAGCAACGAAGGAATATCAAGGTATCTTCAGGAGAAAGGGAAGACAGGAAAGCTAAAAATGTCGACGAGATTCGAGTTAAGAAACGAAGGTGGCAGGCTAGCAGATATTGGCTGGATACCGAGCAGAAGATGAGCAGGATATGCGGGACGCGTGAAGAAACAGCATTGCATATGATGACAATATGTGAAGCAACGAGGGTAAGTATCAGGGTGAAGTAATTGATGGACGACAGTGGAAGAAATATAGATCGAATGAAAAGACTGATCGAAAGTGGAAGCTAAAAGAGCAGGTGAAAAGAGAAAGTGGCGAAACCAAGCAAACATTCAAAGTCTAAGCTTCTAACTTATAAATGTTGCTATGGTTGTAAAGTAGGTATCAAATAGGTTTAATTTTGTTAATCGTCTTAAAGGTTTATCTTTTCTTGTTTGTTTAAATTAAGCTAGAAATAGATATAAATATAATATACGTTGATGTAAGCGGTAGAGATCTTGAGTTGGTAAAAGATTAAGAAATCTCGTATGTAACCCGACAGGGGCAACGTTGTTCGATAGAAAAGAAAAAGGAAAAAGAACTGAAGTTAAAATCTGCGATGGAACTAGCGCAATGTGTTTCTCAACAAATGTCGATTCTCTTCTCGATGATTCCGATCTTTGTTTGTGAAACGAACCTCGAGCTTCCGAGTAAAAGGACATTGGCAATCTTGTGGATCTTAAAGATATAGAATCATACGGGTTCCTCGTATTTAGAGATAGACAAATTTATAATTTTGAATTATAATAATCGACCATTGGTCGATGTGAAACGGAATAAATAGGTATATTTAATTTTGATTTTTAATATCGATATTCATATTTAATATTATTCTTCCGAGTAACAAGCAAATCATGGACAGATGGTATTATTTTGAAAAGAAAAGGAATAAAAAGAAATATTCAAATTCATTATTTGATAAGGACGAATTTGGTAAAAATGAAACGTCCGAAAGGTGCATTAAGATTTAAAAAAGAGACTGATGAAGTTTTTAAAGTTTCTTGGCAAAGGATAAAGAAGATAAAAAGACATGGGGCACTGCTACTGCCTTTGAATATTCGAAGCATTAAAAAACAATCTAAAACACTTGGTATAGAATTGCCGTGAGTTTACAGATTCTCTAGAAATCTTCATGATCTCCCACGAGAGACTTCCCCGCTTAATCGCAACATTCCACACGTTTCCAGAATGTTTCGAGTCAGCGCCTCTCAAGTTCTCCGCAAGATATTCAAAGTATTTGATATTTAAAAAATTGCAACTTTCTCTCGCGGGAGGTACGCTCCTTTTTTTAAACGAAACTAATTTTAATTAAATCGTCCAGTATAACTGTTTAAACCTTTTATTTAAAGCCCTTCCGAAACTGTCTTGTTCTATGAAACTGTCAATGAACAGAGCGTGGCAGGACACGCGAAAAGATCGAACTGGAAGTTACTTTACATGGGAAGATAAATCGAAAATCTGGGATAATATTTTTTTCCTGCGAAGCTTCATTTTCAAGAATATCGAGTTTGAAAACTTGTCAAATACACATGACTGGATAGTAGATACGAATGGACAATCACGGGGAGGATGTTATTTTACATAAAAATAGGTCAAGAGCGTAGAATACGTATCACGTAGTTTGTGCTATCTGTTATATTGAGAAATCTTAAGATCGCAGTAGCAAACAGAGATTACTTATTTCTCCTTTCCTCTTAAATATCAAACTCGTTGTGAGAAAAATGCCGAGATTAGGCAACGATAACGACAATTTCAAGCGTCGTTTTATTCTTACAACAATCTCCAATGTCCTTTCGTTATTACGTATCTTACAAGAAAAACGAACATTTTTAATTTTAAATTTAAAAATGTTTAAAAAAGTTAAACCACACTAAGAGTTTCGAGCGTAGTTTCATCTTATGGGTTAACTACCCCTTCGTTACGGACATTACGAACGTTGTTGCGAATTATCAACTAAAAAGCAACCGGTCAGGTCAAACCGATCGGTCGATATCGCGTACCTTGAATGACTTAACGTTCAAGGTGGAGGAGGTTTAATATTAGGTTGTCCGGAAAGTATCTTTCTTTCGCAAACGTGCTTTTTACAACAATGCACCTTCGTACAAACGCGAAACCAAGTGTGTAAAACGGCGCGGTGTTTATCTTAACAGAACAAAATGAATCGTACGTAATTCGACAAGATAATATAAAAGGAAAAACATTGTGCGTCTATTATTTCCGACAACCTAATATTTAGTAAGTGTTAGTGTAATTTGGCACCTTATTTGCATTTGTTGTATGTTATTGGATGTTATGAACACGGCGGTGGTAGGATCTTCCTTGTTGAGACTGAGGTATTTCACCTGCACGGCACGACGCGACAATCTGCTGGTGACCGAAGTATTTCACTCACACGGTACGACACTCTGTTGAAGACTGAAATATTTCACCCACACAGTACGACACTCCGTTGAAAACTGAAATATTTCACACAGTACGATGTTTTGTTGACGACTGACTTGGTTGACTAATTCCCCCCAGCAATCGTTGTTTATCTCTGGTCTTTGAGTCATCAGCTAGGGGAGGACAGGACTTTGGAAAACGTGGATACTTTGAAATTTTCTAAAGAAAGGGTAGGTGCTGTTCGAGCCATAAACGGACGCCCGCTCTGGCCTTTGAACAGTCCCATTCACACGTTGGTGGTAGTGATGTTTATTTCGTATGTTCTTGTGCCTCGTCGTCGATAGACAATGGGGCTACTTTATTGATTCCGCATTTGTATTCTCCTGGTTTATTTTCCACTATTGCTGTTTGTATCGTGTACTCCGTATGTTCCAATTAGTTGTATTTCTAGAGTTTCTGATTTCCTCGAGTAGACCGTCTCGTGCATATTTACAATTATCAATTTCGATGTTGATCTTCTTTAAAGACGAATGCAGGGCTGCAAGTTGTTTCAAATACTCGTTAGATTTCATTGCTTTCCCTAAAGATAAAGGACTAAGTTGATTGCTAACTTTTGTAAATCCGACGTGTAATCGATGTAAATTCGAACCGAACCGAAAAAACGTTGCAAGGAAAATATTAGAAAAATTCCGAAATTTAGGAAAACTACACTTTCGTAGATTAAATTAAACGTTGTAGATAAAATTATCGTTATTAAGGCTTAAATATCCTTTCGTTATAATTATGTACTGTGTATAAGTATTTATTGTACGAACATCTTGTTGCGGTATTCAAGATGAAGAAAACGAGCGATAGGGCGTTTCCTCTCGATTGGACGCGATAAATTGTAACAAATGATGAGATACAGAGGAATAATGCCTCGATATAGTGGCGTCCATCGCACAGGGGGTCGTAAAACCCGTTAGATAACGCGCGTGCTCATCGCGGACCGGGTTCCGGCTTTTGCCAGGACGCAATCGGTCTGCTCGTTTGCCATGCACCGACTCTATCGCTCCATTCCACTCGAGATGCACACAGTTCGCTTTTACTTTTGCTTCCTTCACCTTCACCGTCTCCTCTTCTCTCTTTCCTCGCTGCGGGGCCTTTTTTTCTCACGGTTACGTTTGCCAGCGACCGTGTCACAACGCTTTCCAGAGACTAACAGCCTCCGTTACCGTTTATTATTCTTGTTAAGTCCGGCGAATCAGCGGTGTAGAAGATTCATTAGCTCAACTTGGCCAGGTATATTTATGGTCGTGATGAGTTAACCGTTATTCTGCGCTCGTTAATTCGATAGAAGATTCTGTTGGTTCGTACAGGGTTAAATTAGACAAACTGCTTGTTAGAATTTGGAATTGAAAATACAAATCTTACGCACAATTTGGCAAGGTATTGGTGCGGTATGTAGACGAGAGAATTTGTTAGACGACGTAGAAGCAGAACGAAGACTCGTCCATTCGATGAATTTTGATTCTGTGAGTTTGTTGAGAACGATTAATGCGATGTTGATTTCGTTAAATTCGATAAACTGTCTTTCAAGACGTATGATTTTAAAAGTACAAAGGTGAGGATATTTATCATTGTTTGCTACGCGATTTGGTATACGTTAAAAAATTTGTCGGATGAGATGAGACTGGCATAAAGACTCGTTAATTCGACGAGTATTGGATCCATATTTTTTTCAAGATGAATAATACAATATAAATAAATCTCATTAAGTCTGACATTTTTGTTTCTTTTTTGTTAAATAATACGACTTGTATGACTTGCCAATATACAGTCTTCGTGAATACGAATTTGCCTACAATTGTTACTATGTTTCTAAATTAGTAATTACCTTTCTTTGAATTTCATGTTCGTAAGATGAATCCGTCGAAAGACAAGAAGTGCGTTCCGTCCACTCGAGCTCGAAACGATATATAAGTCCTACAAACGAGACGCGCATCTTCTAATTCGCCTGTGCTTCTTCAATTTATCTCCATTACGCAGCCGATCAATTTAATTCATTGCGCTATCCCGTTCATTGACTTCTCAATTCGCTGATGCATCGCTTCGAGGGTTTCAAAGTTGCGATTCGCTGCAACGTAGTTGTACGCAATTCGCAACTCTAGCCAACGCTATAGAATGACCCGGTTCTACGATTTAAATCTCGTATTCTATCATTTCGCATTGCACTCGCATTTGCGTGTTTCGGCCGTAGGGAAAAAGGGAATGTTCATAGGATGAGCACCGGACGAAAGAACCTTAATGAAACAGGTAAAAAAGGACATCGTATTTTGACAAAACGAAATTGCATTTAACAAGACCATAGAAGAGATACAAATATTATACACCATGGAATAGGCTACTGTTACCAATATGGTAACATGAAAGAAGACACCATGATCCAACAACAAAAACAGCCTTATATTTGATAAGAGTAATTAATAGACACAACAACTATATACCACAGAATAGATGACACTTACCAACGTGGTAACAAACTTTCACTACAAAATTAAAAATTAAATTTAAACTTTCTTCCATAGGCAACTGTACATTGGCAGAGACGTCGAACGAAAAATCGCCAAAATTGATTCGGGCCACTCGTGAAATAAAAGCAACGATGACATGTGCACATTGAAGGGAATTAACGATCGTTTCAATGGTCGATCAGCGATCATAACAAATAACAAAGAACGAGCCCCCTCCTATGTGTAGAACGACAGTGTGTTGACTGTAAGACGGAAGGATCGAGCGTAGGCAGTACGCGATAGGTAGCTGGCCGATCGGGTACCGGATCTAACGATATTTTTCTGCGACACGGCGTGGACGAGCCGCAAAGGTGAAGGCGATCGCAGGCGGTTTCCCGGGTGTTTACGATCTGGAAACTGACGCACGAATCCGCGAGGAAAGCGCGGACGAGGCCGCACAAAGAGATCCGGCATTCCTGGAAATTATCACCTCCAGGATTTGCGATCGTGACGCGTGACGACTGGTTTGCAACAGTCGAAGCAGAGGTCGCGAGTTTTCGGTCGTTCAAGGCCGTCTGACAATCGAAGTCGTAACCCTTCAGTGTTAGGGACACTTGAGTTCTCGTGCACTCGATAAGTGATATTATTTTTATTATATTATGCGTATAAACACGTTCAATGACATTATATTTAATCGATTATACTAGTGGCTACTGAAAGTATTTATCTGCACATATTGTTAGTTTGCTATGAAGCTTCTTTTCATTAGGTGTAACATTTCGTTTTCATAGTATCAAATGTTTGTAGTCGTATGAAAGACACGTAGGAAAAATGTAAGTACTTGACAATTACTAGATAATTACGGTACAGTCTGAGTTATTCGAAATAATAGGGAGACAAAACTGTTGGCACAACGAAAGTTTCGGATAATAGAATAAAACGTTTTTCTAATATGAAATTTCATTTAGTTCAGATGCGTTCTTTTTGTGTTTCGAAGCATCGAAACCTTTTCCCGAATACCACGAACGCTTCGGCCGAAAAGTTACTTCATTGCCACTTTCATTTGCTGTTGCCATTTTTGTAAAATCGTCGTTATTATCGTCTTTATCGCGATGAGATCATTTCATTACATCAGGATATTTAAAGTTTCTCTACTGTTACCAGTACCAGAGAAATGTACGTGCTAATATTCAGTATCGTGTTTTTTATTGGCTGTGATTATAGCTTTTTCGACGTTATATATTTTTGCTATTTCCGTTGCACTTACGTCGTTTTCGAGAATTTTAATTACGTTATACTTTCTTTCGATAGTTAGAACGCTATTACTTTTATAATAAATTCTTATAACCAGAATTCATAATACTTTCTTCAAATTAGAAAATCATGTAATTGGACGTTTTCGAAAATTCAAGTGTATTTTGGCTTTTTGTGAATAAATATCCCAGTTTGATGAAAAAGGTACCGAATTAATTTGTGCAGACCCTTTTGGCACAATTATGCTATTACTTAATTATCGATGGAACCTCGCGAGGCACAAGGTGCCAGTATTATTAAATTCTCTTGCCAGATAAATTTAATAATAAAATAACTTATACCTTACAAATCAATTTTACAGATTATCAGTCATTTTATTATTTTATATGACGAAACTGTAAAATTATAGAAGAGAAATCTGTAATCTATAACTTCTAACTTATCAGTTCACTAATATTATTCAATAAAATATCGTGCAATCATCAACCATAGTCAAAATTAAAGTCCCCCTTACAATTATGCTGACTCTGTACAATTTCCTTGTTATTGTATTTGTTACTATCAAATATTATACCGTTAAATTCTTTCTATTTTGTTTGTATAGTTTTGTTGCACAATTGTTTGTATAATTCTGATAATTGGTTTCGTTAATTACATAGGAAGGAGAGACGGGAGAGAAGACAGAAGTTAGGGTTACGAGAGTGTACAAACACGTTTGAAAGGAAAGTAAAAGTAAAAATTATAAATACCATGGACAACGAACGACCTCGAATGCCCGAAATTTCTGGCCTCTATACTATCGCGATACGGTTCTCAGGTATGAATTCGATTTCAATATGAATAAAATACAAATTTCAACAGCCTTGGTTCGCTTATTGGAGTACGCGAATCCATTCACGGAACTCGACTGCCTTCATTGAATGATATGATCTGTCGACATCGGTTGAGTATCGTCGAATGAAATGTTATGTTAATTTAAATTCCTAATTTGGAATCGAAGCAATTATCGAGCTGACAATAGAGATTCTGTTCTTCATTTTATGTTTCTTTCATCGTCATTCGTCGTTTTCTTCTTTTTCGTTATGAACATTTATCCGCTTTATATTCATTTGCATAACAACGATTCCCATAAATAAACGAAGCGCAAAATTATTCCAATTGCCCTTGTACAAGATTATGTCAAAATTTTGTTTAATAAAATCCCCATTTAATTAACAGTAGCGTTCTTGCTGGTCATGAAAACAAGATTTCCTTGTCTTCCACCTTCACTTTAGAAGAAAGGACGTATGGTACCTTCGAGTTGGATGAAACATTGTAGGCTCGAAGAACAGCCAGCTAAAGATATTAGATACGTATCTTTTTTTTTCCTTTTTCTTGGCTGCAGTAACTCAAGTTTAAGGGGTGAAACCACCCTTCAAATTTCGACCCTTTGAAAGCTAACTCGATAAAAGTTAGGTCGAAAAGTCGGTTGAAGATAAAAAGAAACTTGTTTAACAAAAATTGCGCGGTTTCTAACGTGCCAGAGGAGAATGCTAAAGTCAGATAGAAAAATTTTCAGAGATGTTTAGAAAGATTGCATCAGCCGTGTTTGCTTCACAGAATTTCTCTTTTACTTACGCAATTCAGTGAAAATACATCTCATTCAATTATAATCTAAATTGAAAGGTAGAATTAAAAAATTAGAGATAATAAACTTCTTCTAATCTTAATAAATTCATCTTCAACGCCCCTTATTACAAATCCCTTAGGTCATTTTCAGTCCAATCGTGTTCCTCCTGCACCAAACAATTCTCTTTCGGAGAATTCTGTTTCTCTTCCATTTCATCGCGTTGCGTCGAAGTCTTTTTTCCCCGACTTTTTCTAACAAAACAAGAACAGGATTAGATCGCTGAAGGTTCAAAGATCACTGCTGAGTCGGCTAAAAAGTGAAATTCGTTTAAACTTTCTCATTATCCTTCCGTCATTTCTTATTTCCTTCGATTAAACTCTCTTCGAGCTCGCTTGCTTTATTTTCCTCTCGGTTCTCAAGGCGATGTGCCTCATCGTAGTTTCTCAGCCAAGTTGTTTCCGCTGACAGCCTGGATTAATCAAGTTTAATAGGTTAAAGTCGCGTTCGTTGTTCGCCGTTTCGTCTCGCGATAAACGCGGTCAAAATAATAAACAGATGCGCTCAAAACGCGTATTTAGCTACCTGTTCTGACCATGACGCTGCGTCTTGCGCTCGTATCAGGACACAGATGCGATTATATACGATCAAATCCTGTTATTCTCTTCAATCATGCCAAACTTTTAACGAATTCAATTAACTTATTCGTATCTCCATGAACTTTCATCGACTCCCCCTTTGCGAGCCTTGACCACACCAGTCATAAATTCATAAACCTGTATCTATCGTTCTAAATTTTAACTTTTGCGTACGTTAAACGACGCAGGATTGTGTTACAGAGTTTAGCGTTTCTTGTATATATTTCTGTATGTTTCTGTATGTTCTTATATAACCGTCAATCATTTATAATCAGAGCAAGAATATTCTATTAACGTCTTGTGTCCCCGTCAGACTTCCTTGTTTCAGGCTATATATACATATACTATTGTCAATGGTAACTGGTTTATAGCAACATGAATGTTAAGTAAAATATATTTATATATATTGATGGGAAATTAATGGCTAAAAATAGTACTCATCGTACTTTTACAGATTCAACGAATAATGTAGACTTGCCGAGAATTTATCAGGGAAGAAAATAGAATTTATATTTATTAACAAATAATAAATTCGAATTGTTTGTTTAAAAACTTGGTCGACAGTGTATTAAAATTAAATATGCAATTCGCCCATGTACCTACATGGTATTCATAGTCCTTTTATTAATTTAAAAGAATCTTCCTTATCTGATCTGTATCTTAGAGACACAGATAGTCTATCTGATTTATGTTTTACAGATTAAACGAGAATAAAGAACTTTCCCAGAATATTCTGTGATAAACCTGGCTAAAAGATTCTATTATGACGTATTTTCATTCTTGCAAGCGGCAATATTTCATTACATATCCATCAATCGTCTAAAACCAATTTCATCGTGCCATGTAATAATAAACTAATAACGTAGAATGTAATTGTATAGTGTTCGTTTATTATTTACCGCTATTATATCAAATTATATCTTGTCAAAAAAGAGCGTCCATGAGTGTATTTCCAGGTACTTCTGAACGATTATACATAGATATATCCTGTAATACAAAAGTACGAATCGCAAATCATGAGAGAGAAGATCGTGAAACGCGGAACTGATCTGCGTATTAAGTCGAACGTTCGAACGGTACCGCCCATTTTGCCGATCGATGACCGTATAATACAGATAAACGATAATTGCTCGCGTTTCGCTCATAAGAACAATTATAAGAACTTTCTCACGTTCCTCTTTTTTCTTCTCTCTCTCTCTCTCTCTCTCTCTCTCTCTTTCTCTCTCTCTCAAATTACCTCATTATCTCTTTCCATTTGGCGATGAAACGATATCGACGGTACGCTTAATCGAATTAATTAATTGCACGGTTGCGCCTAAAATGACATACCGAAATAATGGTCGATGAAAATTACCCAAAAGCTTAATCCGTTTCCACGATGTTTACTATATTGTGACACGTGTTGGTTCGTGCAAAACGAAAGTACACGATGCCAAGGTCTCGGATTATTGAAACCTTGATCGCATTTGATTGGACACTTTCGAATTATGTCCTTTCTTTGTTTTGGTTAAAGTGGAGGAAATTGAATACATACTTCCCTTTTACCCTTGAAAAAGAAATATAAATTGCTTGGTAACGTCACGATACTCGATTATTTTTATTGGTATTACGTGGAAGATTGATGCAGTGTGTGTATTTCACGATAAACATATTTAACGCTGAAAGATACACGTTTGTTTAGCCCTGTTTCTCAGAGAGTATGACAGATTTGGTAAGTTTGCAAACTAAACTTTTGTACGCTAGTGAAAATAAGTTATGTCTACGTAGGATAATTCCTTTTGGTGGATATCATACATATCATGGGGAACGATTACGCATTTCTTACGATACAAAGTACGTTTTAACAAGTACAAGGAAGATCGCACAATTATGTTAAATAATTTTTCTGAAGAAGATTCTCAACCCTTCAATGACAAATGAACGGTATTTAAATTTTACAGTGATCCTATCTTAGCTTCAACTTGTATACATATATGTTGGTCTACGCGATGTATATGTACATCGAGTTAAATCCGATAAATTATACAGCATTCATATGAAATGTTACTTTTAACCCATAACTGCTGACATGAAGTCCAACTTTCTTTTCCTGTAATTTTTTTCAATCTCTCCTTATATGATGTATTATGTAAACTATTCTCTAGCAAAAAAACTTAGTACATGCTGGCATAGGTACAATTTTCTAATACATGTTTGCAATATCTAGAGATATGTTGTCGAATAAAAACAGTGCCTAATAAATATTTCGAATATTTTCTAATAGGAACGTGGAATATCGTTCTGTCGCCTTTCTATAAAAATTCTTATATCAAATTTTTCAAATGTATAATTTATAGAAAAAAAGATTCGTACGCTTCTATCAATATGTAAAAACTATCCCTGTCAATAATTAATTTAATCGTAGGATAAGGGATTGAGGAATAATTAATTTTTAATTCACCAAACCCAGCAACCGTCCAGTAGTTTATACTTTGCTGAAGGTATACGTAAAGTCTGTATTTAAAACGTAAATGTTCCCATACCTAGCATTTTTGTTTCAGAACTGCTTTTTTTTCTATTTTAAACGATTTCTTTCGTTGATACAGTCCGAACCTTGAGACTTTACATGGCGAAATAAACGAATTTAGTCTCTGGGCGTGTTAATGGCTGTACTTTCAAGCGATCGTTTATTAATCCCCTGTTCATTATGGTAAAGACTGATAACTCATGCGTTTATGTTGCAACGAATGTAACGAAATACGCTTGAGATGAGATTTGTACTCGCCGCTTTCCTATCGGACTCTATTAATTAAATACTGCGATTCAAGCAAGACGAGACGTTGATTCTTGAACGTGAGTATCGTTTACGAGCTTATCATGCCTACATTATTTTGATTCGCCGCTTACATCGGCTATCTAGACGGTTATTAATTACGTAAGACGTAAGTTACGCTTTAATTAACCGGCACTGTTATGCGTGTCATTTTTCATTTCTACCGTGAAAAAGAACGTTCTTGAACAGATAACGAACAGGATCCTTATGCAGCGGATCGCTTGCTGCGTTGAAGGCAAAAGGAGTAAAATTTCAAAACAATTACGGAAAGAATTATCGACAAGGATGATCCGCGTATGGGAACAGTGATTTATACTTCGTTGATGTCATAACTTAAAGATAACAGTACTGGTTTAAAATTTATTCAATATCCAGAATGTACCGAGTCTCATAACTTAGAACTCATTTTACAAATAAACTAATGATACATTCGTTCGATTTATTTTATAAAATATCTAAAAAATACTGAGTTTCGCGAATTTCTTATGGTCAGACTGCGAATATTAAGAAATTGAAGTTTTCTAATCTTTCTGATCATCCGCGTTGTTTGAACGTTTCAATCAAGTCTTCCACATTTATCGGAATCTTATCAGGTTCGTCAAACTTCTTAAAAAAATAATCGTATATCTCGAAATTCCTCAAATTTTTCAAATTCTTCGATCGCTCGAACCTGGTCAAACTATCCAAGCATTTACAACTTCCCAATTTCCAAGCTTCAACGCTCGAATACGCGAAACCCCATAAACTCATATACCCCTAATAACCCCATAGCTCCATATACACCCTGGAGAACGTCTAATTTCATGGAATATTCGGACTATTTCCAAATCGCATGGGATTGAATCGTTCGTAAATTTAGGATCCCGTGCAACGTCGTGTTCGACGCGTGTTTCGCTTCGAAAACGACCACACGATCGATCGATCGCCTCGTAAACGAACCTGTTGCACGATCGCTGAGGAATTCGTAACGACGCCGCGGCTGCGTTTCTTCGACCGCGAAACCATCGAAGAAGAAGAGAATATTCGCTCCCGCGATGGTCATAAATGGAATGCGGATCTTTATGCGAATTCGTATTTTTAAGGATACGATTAAAAAAATAGAGCGTTGATCGAAAATTATTTTGCTTACCAAGTGTGTAATACAGAAGAGGCTATACTTGGAGGATATTTCATATATCTTTTTCGTATTAACGCGCATTCTATCGCAATCCTGCACTTTCGAATATTTTTTAAATGCATAAGATTAGACGCTTTCATATAAAATGCATGAAAATCCTACAGTATAGTCAGAAAATTGATTTCATATAGCAAATAAAAACACTTTCTGCTATATGATAAATATATTCCACCACTGTGCACTATTATACTAGTAGTAGTACTGTTTATTATCAGTTCTAGCGTATAATTAAATGTTAATGTACACTTTTTTTTACTTTATCTATAATAATTAACAATCTACGTGAAACTATCTTCCGCAGTCTTTAAATTTAAGTAAACTATTATTATATTTATAAATATTTTGTCATATATGTCTTACTAATCGTCGTATTTCAATTTTAGGTTTCGGACAACGAAGACGATTTAAAAAAAAGAAAGAAAGGAAAATATTCGACGAAATAAAATAATAAAAGTGAGAGACAAAACTGCTACGGAGGTGTTACCGTGATTATGTAATAACGTTTGGGATATTCCAAGATTGTATAATAATAATTAACCAGTTAGCTGTTTCTCACAAATATACTCGACACGAAGAAATGGCAATATTTTGTGTCATGACAAGGCCTGTCAGTAAGAAAATTAAGAAATAAAAGTCATTTCATTACAACTTAATTCTACGTTATAACAGCCACGCGTACTCTGTGTTTGACGAATATACTCGTCACGTTTACGTTCTACAGCACATTTTACATCATAGCAGCTAACTGATTAAGGATTACACTGCCAATTGAATAAAATAAGACATTAAACATCGCAATACAAAGATCTCCACACAGCAAATATTTTGCATTATAAACTTTACACACCTCTAACACAACTCTAGCACAATTTTTCGTAACAAAATTTTTCACAACAAAATTCTCATATGTAGATAATATATTCATAAAAAATAATATTCTACTATATCTATGTATAAGTCGATAGTTCTAGCGTTAATAGAAACTCGCATTTTTATACTTCAGCGTTTCCGTGAAATATAATTGCGATGGTGACACCGGAAGAGTATCCTCGTACGTGGTTTCTCAAATATTTCAGCGATACCGTTCCGCAATAAATCAACAGGAGGTTCATCTTTCGCCGTGGGTTTAGCGAGAAAGATTAATGCGAGCTTGAAAGATCGGCTGGTCAATCGGAGATAAACCGATAGGGACGACTACCGACGCTTGAATAATTTCCTCGACTCGCAGCGGAAAGAAGAGAATCGTGATAATCGGTACGTTGAACCGCGCCGTGTGTGTCTTCCTTTTAGGAAACTTGTAAATCCTGTATCGAGCGTGCACGTCGTTCCCGGCCAACGAGAACGAGAACTATCGCGGATCGATCCTCTTTCATTCGTTTCATTATACGTATGCATAATACGTATATTAAATATTAGAAAATGTGTAAATAAAACTATCAACGTAATCGTAATTCGATCGCGGATTTATCTCTTCAGAGAAATAGAGATATCTGAATGTTCAATGTTCTTTGATAAATTTCTTAATGAAAATATCCGGAGGTGTTTTATTTTGATAATAAAAAAGATTTAAATATTTATCGAAAGGAAAAAATAAATGAGGAGTTTAAATCAATCGTAATTCCATCGTGGATTTATCTCTTCAGAGAAATAGAGATACCTGAATGTTCAATGTTCTTTGATAAATTTCTTAATGAAAATATCCGGAGGTGTTTTATTTTGATAATAAAAAAGGTTTAAATATTTATCGAAAGGAAAAAATAAATGTGGAGTTTAAATCAATCGTAATTCCATCGTGGATTTAGATATTCAATAGCTGCTAGATATTCAAAATGGAAATATCTAAATGTTTCATATTCCTTGATGGATTTCTCGATGACAATGTGTGGAAATATTTTATTTCAATAATACGAAGTAAAATCAAACTAAATATTGAATTTAAAAAATATAAGCTCAGTGGTATCGCGAGTTCTTCTGTCGATAGGAAACCACGCTTGTATTTCACAGCGTGTACCCACGATACCGGTATTTTTTCGTCGTCGTTATCGTTAGCCTTTGGAACCCAATACACCCACGTGCTCACCTTTTTTTCACGTTCGTCATGAACGCGTAGGTGAGAATCGTGGTGCAGGCGATAGCGAACGATATTATTGCTTCAGCCGTTTCATTTTATAATAATCGGATAAAACGAGCGCAACGTGCCCGGCAGCTCGGTCATAAATTTCGTTTAGCCTCCTTTCCATAAAACAGACTAGCGGTGAAGCTTCATGAATGCATAGAATAAAATGCTGTCTACTCTTCGTATTCCGAAACATCCCTCTGGTTCATCATAAATAATTTTATTGATAATTGTATAGACCGCGGATACTTATACATTTATGGGAAATATAAAAATGCAAAAATGAACAGATCGCATAAATATGAAAATCACAGGGGCGAAATACGATAATTATATTTTTGTCCGTCTTTGTACTTTAATGCCACGTTCTGATTAAACAACAGGACTTCGGTTTCGATAATTTTTCGATTGTTCTCGCAAGAGGCTGGCGCAGCATATGTTTTAGCTCTAAAGAAAATACATAAAAAGTCAATATGTACATATAACGTCGATCGATCGAGGAAATAACAGATTTAAAAATTGCTTTTTTGGTTTATTACGTTTATTACGTTCGTGCGATTTCTCATCTTTCACCTTCGTAATAATTTTCTCTGCATTCTAGTTTCATCGCTTTAGTTATGTTCATAAAAATATCAGTTTGCATGAACGTCCTATTAACGATCGTAAAAATTTCCATATACTTGCGGACATCGAGATTATCTTTTTTAGTATTTAGATCTTTTTTAATATCTCAAAAATTCGAGTATTTCTGTCGGAGGACAAGCGGAGGATACGACATTTCTAAAATTCATTCGATCTCCCAACTGCAATCATTTTATAATATTTCATGGACATTAAAATGTAGAATTCAATTTTCAATTATTCTTCCATTGTCATCGTGTAATTTGTTTCAAAAACGATGGACATGCTATTGTTACGGAAGGTGTTTCGTATGGAAAGAGGAAAACCGTATATGTCGTTCGATAAACCTGGAATCAATCGAACAGCTGTTAGAAACGGTCGTCCAAAGTCTCCGAAATGTCCAGACCTAGAGCGAGACGCCTCGAGTCACGTAACAGCCTACATTTTATTTCACTGCACTTTTACTTTGCGACTGTACACGCGGTTCGGCCTTGCTGCGACCTGAATACCTCGG